CTCGTCTCTGGACTCAGTGCCAGAGGTGTCAGGGCAGCTTACACGAAGATGTTTTATGCACTAGGTAAGTGGATCCATTGCTTTATACCGTCCAGGGCATTTGTCCTTGTAATCTAAACTACCGTATTTTTCGCTCCATAAGACGCACTTTTTTCCCCCTCAAAAGTGAGGGGAAATGTCTGTGCGTCTTATGGAGCGAATGTAAAGCTTTACTTACCTGTCTTGGAGCGTGGGCCGGCTTCACAGCGCGCTCCGCGGTCCAGGAACTTCTATTTCAGGTTCCGGTTTCCGGCGGGACTGAAAGGAAGTGCACACTCAGTGTGCACACTTCCTTTCAGTCCTGCCGGAAACCGAACTGAAATAGAAGTTCCGGACCGCGGAGCCGCTTGCATCGCCCACGCCCAAGACAGGTAAGTAACGATGGACAAGGGGAGGGGGAGACACTATGGGACGAGGGGGAGACATTATGGGAGAAAGGGAGGGGGAGACACTATGGGAGAAAGGGAGGAGGAGACACTATGGGACAAGGGGAGGGGGAGACACTATGGGAGAAAGGGAGGGGGAGACACTATGGGACAAGGGGAGGGGGAGACACTATGGGACAAGGGGAGGGGGAGACACCATGGGACAAGGGGAGGGGGAGACACCATGGGACAAGGGGAGGGGGAGACACCATGGGACAAGGGGAGGGGGAGACACCATGGGACAAGGGGAGGGGGAGACACCATGGGACAAGGGGAGGGGGAGACACCATGGGACAAGGGGAGGGGAGACACTATGGGAGAAGGGGAGGGGGACACACTATGGGAGAAGGGGAGAGTGAGACTATGGGAGAAGGGGAGGGTGAGACTATGGGAGAAGGGGAGGGGGAGACATTATGGGAGAAGGGGAGGGGGAGACACTATGGGACAAGGGGAGGGGGAGACACTATGGGACAAGGGGAGGGGGAGACACTATGGGACAAGGGGAGGGGGAGACACTATGGGACAAGGGGAGGGGGAGACACTATGGGACAAGGGGAGGGGGAGACACTATGGGACAAGGGGAGGGGGAGACACTATGGGACAAGGGGAGGGGAGACACTATGGGACACACTATGGGACAAGGGCAGGGGGGGACACTATGGGAGGGAAAGTGCACTATGGGACAATGGGAGGGGGGGACACTATGGGATCAGAACACTAATGGACAAAGGGAGGAGGGGTTAAAGAACACTATGGGACAGGGTAGGAGGGGTTAAAGAACACTATGGGACAGGGGAGGAGGGGTTAACAATCACTATGGGACAGAGGAAAGGGGGGTTAAAGATCATTATGGGACAGGGGAGAAAAAAAAATATTCTGAACAAACTGTCCCATAGTAAGAAACACTATGGAACAGTTTGTTCAGAATATTTTTTTTTTCTGGGTTTCCTCCTCTAAAAACTAGGTGCGTCTTATGGTGAGGTGCGTCTTATGGAGCGAAAAATACGGTAAGTGGTGCCCTTTTAATATTTTAGACTAATACTTGCCTGCAAGTCACTCTGATAACCAACCATTGTTTTCACTTCACGGTTCCATTCTAACTACCACAAAATTCATGCCGTATATAAGAATTGAACTGATTAGATTAACCCCTTAAGGACTGGACTGTTTTTGCGATGTTGTACATTTGCGACCAGGCATATTTTTACACTTTTGTGGTGTTTGTGTTTAGCTGTAATTTTCTGCTCTCTCATTTACTGTTCCCATTCAAACTATATATTGTTTTTTTCAGGACAAAAGGGGTTTTCTTTACATACCATTATTTATATAATCTCATGTAATTAAATTTTTCTTAAAATTAAAAAATGTGATGAAAAATTGAAAAATATACATTTTTTTACTTTTACGTGAAAAATATTTTACTCATCTACAAAAGCGAATGAAAAAAACGGCTAAATAGATTCAAAATATTGTCCTGAGTTTAAAAATACGTGCTTTTTTGCTATTTTTTTTGCATGTTATAGGGTTATAAGTACAAGTAGGATATTGCGGTTTCAAAACATAAATTTTTAAAATGTATCAATAGTGACATTGTAACACTATTATCTGTCATAAATCTATGTCATAAATATATATATAATTGTTGTTAGCGCGACATGTAGCGCAAATGCCAGGTTTTGTTTACATTTTTGTTTCGTTCACAACGTGTACATTTGGCTCAGTCCTTAAGGGGTTAAAAATACCCAGTGTTTACATGCTTTGTTGCTATTTTTTGCATGTTATAGGGCTATAAGTACAAGTAGGCTGTTGTGGTTTCAAAACATACATTTTTAAAATTTATCAATAGTGACATTGTAACACTGTCATAAATCTCTGAATAACACCCCACATGTACATATTTTTTTTAAAGTAGACAACCCAGGGTATTCAATATGGGGAATGTCCAGACTTTTCTAGTAGCCACTTAGTCGCAAACACTGGCCAAAGTTAGCGCTCATATTTGTTTGTGTGTGAAAAAAGTAAAAAACTAAATTGAACGCTAATTTTGGCCAGTGTTTGTGACTAAGTGGTTACTAAAAAAGACTGGACATACCCCATTTGCAATACCTTGGATTGTCTTCTTTTGCAAATGGTATGCCATCATGGAAGTAATTCTCATTCCTAGGCTACTATACGCTCTCAAAGGCAACATAACCAACCTGGCTATTTTCAATATAAAAATATTTGACCCATATATTTGACCCTGTAACTTTCAGAAATGCTATAAAACCTGTACAGTGGGGGTACTGTTATTCTCAGGAGACTTTGCTGAACACAAATACTAGTGTTTCAAAACTGGAAAACATATCACAACAATTATATCATCAGTAAAAGTGCTGTCTGTGTGTGAAAAATGCAAAAAAAGTCACTTCCACTGACAATATCATTGTTGTGATATGTTTTACTGTGTTGAATCAGGTTTTAGGGTGTCGTAGAACGTTACAGGGTAAAATACAGTGCTAGCAAATTAAATTCTCTGGACTTTCAGCCTGGGTTGGCAGGCAGGTCCCTTAAATTGCAATCAATAAAATTACTTAATTATGTAAAAATATTACATAAATACGCACGTAGAATTTAAATATATATGCATATTTATATATTTGTCTACATGTATATTTATATAATTATTTATGTAATTTTGTATATATCGTATTATTTTTATTTATTTATATATACATAGATATATATACAATTTTATTCTAACTGTATTTTGATATAAATATATATATATATTAATATCAAAATACAGTTAGAATAAAATATCATATAGATATATAATTGTTTTAAAAAAATTTATTATTATTTTTACATTTTTTTATTTAATTTAAATTACTTATTTGTATTTGATAATAATATATATATATATATACAATATATATAGTTATTATATATATTATATATATATGTGTGTAATTTATTTATAAGTGTATTTTTATATTAATATATGTACATATTAATATAAAAATACACTTAGTATGACATTATATATGTGTTAAGGCCGTTTGGCCTGTATTTGTGGGAGGGGCTTAAATTAATTCACTCCCCTATATAAGGGACACCCCTTACCTGACTCATATCGCTTGAGGTCAGCATCAGAATGATTTCCACTTCCGGGTCATCCTGACGCCATTTTACCTGATTACTCCGTGAGGTTTTCTAAGCTGAGCTGTGTCAGGAATCCAGCCTACAGGCTTTTCTGGCCTACCACCTTCTTTCTTCAATCTAT